ATTTGTTGACCAGGTAAGACTTCCCAGGGAAATAGTATTAAATGAGAACAAGCATCCAGAAAAAAGAAATACCAGTTAACTCAAGCTGGCTACGTTAAGCGTGGAGACACTGAGATTGCTGCTGCATTGTAAGACAGTGAACAAATGGGTCAGATCACTGTACTAGGATGTTGGTACAGACAACAAGTAACAGCTGTATCTTCTACACAGGCTACAGCTTAGACAAATATGGGCAAGTACAGAAATGTACTCAACACTTACAGTTCTCTGCCCAAGCCGGACATTTTGAAACCTCCAAATGGACCCTGGGGGGTCACGTGGTTGTGGTCATTAATCCTGAAATATAAAATATATATATACATACACACATACACAGAGCATTCAACATACTATGGTGGCTAGAGCCATGTAGGGGAAAACATCTACACATGCATGCAAGCACCTACACGCACACACACACAATGAGAAAACCTGTTTTACAAGCCTAAGAGCTGTTGAGTGTATGGTGCTAGTTGCAGGTTTCTCTATATCAGTCAGTACATAAACATAATGTATTACACCAGCCACCTTTACTTCCCACAACATTTCCTAGTAGCTATTTTTAATATGGGAGACCTTGTCAATTTCAAACATTTGCTTCAAAGGGGTTTAAATCCTGACCACTAGGCTAGCAGGCAAATATTCTAGCGACTGCACTCACTAGCATGAGGCTGGGGAACTGGCAAAGAATAAAGAGGATCTGTGGTGACAGCAACACTCTGGATGTCACTTTAAACATTGTGAATCAACAATACATATCATTGTGTTGGGGGGGGGGGAGGGGGGAGAGAAAGGGAGAAAAAAAAAGGGGGGGGGGTTGTCTGGAAACCAGCTTTATTTCTCAAACAATAAAACAACTGTCCACCTTCTTTCTGCTTGTCCTCGACTTCAAATAGAAAACACTGACTGCATTGCTCTAGCACAGTCCCTGACTGACTGCATTGCTCTAGCACAGTCCCTGACTGACTGCATTGCTCTAACACAGTCCCTGACTGACTGCATTGCTCTAGCACAGTCCCTGACTGACTGCATTGCTCTAGCACAGTCCCTGACTGACTGCATTGCTCTAGCACAGTCCCTGACTGACTGACTGCATTGCTCTAACACAGTCCCTGACTGACTGCATTGCTCTAGCACAGTCCCTGACTGACTGCATTGCTCTAGCACAGTCCCTGACTGACTGCATTGCTCTAGCACAGTCCCTGACTGACTGCATTGCTCTAACACAGTCCCTGACTGACTGCATTGCTCTAACACAGTCCCTGACTGACTGCATTGCTCTAACACAGTCCCTGACTGACTGCATTGCTCTAACACAGTCCCTGACTGACTGCATTGCTCTAACACAGTCCCTGACTGACTGCATTGCTCTAACACAGTCCCTGACTGACTGCATTGCTCTAACACAGTCCCTGACTGACTGCATTGCTCTACACAGTCCCTGAGTGACCATTGCTCTAGCACAGTCCCTGACTGACTGCATTGCTCTAGCACAGTCCCTGACTGACTGCATTGCATTGCTCTAACACAGTCCCTGACTGACTGCATTGCTCTAACACAGTCCCTGACTGACTGCATTGCTCTAACACAGTCCCTGACTGACTGCATTGCTCTAGCACAGTCCCTGACTGACTGCATTGCTCTAACACAGTCCCTGACTGACTGCATTGCTCTAGCACAGTCCTGAATACTCCCTGTGTAGGTTCCAGGGCTCTATTATAGGGAAAACAAGAACAGACCCACTGCCTACCCAAAAAGTGTTGTAAGAGTTGACTAATTGGGAGCTTTCTTTGAAGCGTATGGCATCTGCAAGTCTGGTAAAAATCAACAGTCTGCATACAAATGAGTCAGATCTTTAAAATGGATAAGCATGCAACACTCAGGTTTTGGTTAGAACATAACTACAGTCCAGAAGTGGATAAACAACCATAACTTTCCCCTGGAGTTTACAGCTGGTGAACGTGAAGAAAAAGAAGTCCTAGAAATTGCAGTGATGTATCCTAGAGAGTAGACCATGAAATCAACATAAGACGTCTGCTCACCAAACAGTGCCAGCCTGGACACTGTGAGCAAATGTCAGAGCCTTGTTGATGTCATTGGTGAACACTGAAGCCCCCAGCCCATAGGTAGTATTGTTGGCCCGCTCAATGACTTCATCCAGATCCTTGAACTTTAGAATCTGCTGCACCGGACCAAAGATCTGGTAAAAAATAACTTAACATGTTATTTTACGATTTTTAATTTATCTATTTGATTCATGCACAAGGTAATTAAAAAGATAGACACGTTCAATGATAACAACAAAAGTCATATCAATATTATAATTACAAAGAGAATAAAAGAAACAGCTGGCTGCTGAAGATGAGGACGGAGTGCATATGGGAATGACTCAATTGCTATGATGCTGGTTCCTGACTCTGTTCAACTCAAGAAACAAGTTGATTCCCATGTGTCAGGTAACATCTGTTCATGTTGAAGAGGGGATAGTGAAATCAACACAGGATGTGCAAAAGAAAATCAGCAGTTTGGACACAAACAGCACCAGTTTTGACACATAGATAGATAGCTGTCTCATCCTCATCATTTGCTGTGCCAGTAATCCTAGGCTGTCATGTTTCACCATTTCCTGCAGTCACTAGAATCAAGGATCAGGTCAATGTTCTTGTCTCTCCTCCCATCCGTACAGCTAAACCATCCAGATATTCATGTCTTTACCCCTCCATCCATCTTGCAAGGACTGACTTTTTACCCCATCAGGACATCACACCGAGTGATAAACACCCAGTGACACAAGGTGCCACCATTAAGATGAGAATCACCTGTGGAATGGTCCCAGAAACCCTGTTCAACCATTAGGTTATATTAGGGCCTCTGGCAACAGCCAGGGTGTGTTTTTCAAAATAACGAAAAATTCGTCCCACATGGAGACGGGGATGAGTTGTCTTGTCACATCCCACATGGGGACAGGGATGAGTTGTCTTGTCACATCCCACATGGGGACAGGGATGAGTTGTCTTGTCACATCCCACATGAGGACAGGGATGAGTTGTCTTGCCACATCCCACATGGGGACGGGAATGAGTTGTCTTGTCACATCCCACATGGGGACGGTGATGAGTTGTCTTGTCACATCCCACATGGGGGACAGGGATGAGTTGTCTTGTCACGTCCCACATGGGGGACAAGGATGAGTTGTCTTGTCACATCCCACATGGGGGACAGGGATGAGTTGTCTTGTCACATCCCACATGGGGGACAAGGATGAGGTGTCTTGTCACATCCCACATGGGGACGGTGATGAGTTGTCTTGTCACATCCCACATGGGGACAGGGATGAGTTGTCTTGCCACGTCTCACATGGGGGACAAGGTTGAGTTGTCTTATCACATCCCACATGGGGGACAGGGATGAGTTGTCTTGTCACATCCCACATGGGGACGGTGATGAGTTGTCTTGCCACGTCCCACATGGGGACAGGGATGAGTTGTCTTGCCACATCCCACATGGGGACAGGGATGAGTTGTCTTGCCACGTCCCACATGGGGATGGTGATGAGTTGTCTTGTCACATCCCACATGGGGACGGTGATGAGTTGTCTTGCCACGTCCCACATGGGGGACAGGGATGAGTTGTCTTGTCACGTCCCACATGGGGGACAGGGATGAGTTGTCTTGTCACATCCCACATGGGGACAGGGATGAGTTGTCTTGTCACATCCCACATGGGGGACAGGGATGAGTTGTCTTGCCACGTCCCACACGGGGGACGGGAATGAGTTGTCTTGTCACATACCACACGGGGGACGGGAATGAGTTGTCTTGCCAGTCACTACAAAGTTCTGGAGTCTATTCCTTCTCCTGACATCTGGTAAAAATCACAACTAATTTTTGGCTGACATTTTGTTACCTGTGTCAAACACTTAGCTTCACTATACCTAATATTTGCTTTAACCAATTGTTACTATAACTGATCATTACTATAAATAATCATTACTATGAATATTCAATAATATAAATAATCATTACTATAACCAATTGTTACTATAACTAATCATTACTATAAATATTTATTACTATAAATAATTATTATTATAAATAATCATTACTATAACCAATTGTTACAGTAACTAATCATTACTATAAATATTCATTACTATAAATAATTAATACTATAAATAATAAGTGTGACATCACATAGACAGATGAGATTAGATGCCTTAGAAAAGTGATGATAAACGGGGGGGCGGCGGAGGGGGGGGGGGATAATTAAAAATTAAGAAATTAGTCAAATCAGTCATGCATTTCCTTATAGAGCAACAGATGAAATGGTTTGGCCATCTGTTAAGAATAGCATTGTGCCAGCTACCACAAACTGCATTAACTGAAGAAACATTATGAGTACAGAACAAGGGGAAGATTGAATGATGTTACCAAGAGCAAACTTTGAGAAATGAGCACAATCATATTTCAGTGCATTAAAATAAGCATATAGAGTGTCACAGAGGATGAAAAGAACATACACAACAGTTGTAATTGTTACATTTTCCTTGACAAAACAATGTGAAATTGTCACAAATATACAAATGCATTTTCTAAATATAACAGTGGACATTAACAATGCACAAACAGTCCTTTTTTTAAGGGCAACAGTAGAGAAAGAAGAATTCTGTTTACTCTGACAGAACATCTTGATTGCCTCAAATTCACTGATATTTCATACCCCTGTGTGGATTTCCGGGGCCCTTTTGTGGGGAAAATAAGCATAGACCCACTGCCTCCCCAACAAGCCTGTCGTGAGAGTCAACAAACTGGATGCTTTCTTCGAAGTCGGAGTGCATCTACAGACAAGGAACCAACAATCTGCATACATTTAGAGTGTTCCTAGCTGAGATTGGATAATCGTGTCTGCAGAATGGGAGTAGATGAGGCAAGCATTAGAGACCAACATTCAAGAGATATTACCTCTTCTTTGGCAATTCTCATGTCATCAGTAACGCCGGAGAAGACAGTTGGCTTGATGAAGTAACCCTTGTCACCAAATCTTTCCCCACCAACCTCCAACTTGGCTCCATCCTTCTTGCCACTTTGAATTAAATCCAGGATTTTGTTAAACTGCTCTTCGTCAATCTAGAAAAAAAAAATTATTTGAATTACACTTCTGAATCAATTCACGTCTCAATCAAATTATTGTTTTTATAGATGACCTTTTGTTTAAATTTGGCGTGTTAAACTTGTTTGTTTGTGGGAATGAACACTTTACATTGTAGCAAAAATTGTGTGTAGTAGGGATTTGTATTCTTCTGCATAAATGTGACTTCCTGGTCAACTGTGTAGTTGAATCAAATTTATGCAACCCAGATGACAGATGATGTGTTAACAGTCTAACAGCAGACAGTTTTCAGACTAACATGACTGGTTAAAAGGATTAGTGTTACTGCATTCAGGTATCTCTTTAAGTGTTTGAGCTTCATCCTTTAATTACCCAGATAAGACACACAGAGAGAGAGAGAGAGAGAGAGAGAGAGAGAGAGAGAGAGAGAGAGAAAGAGAGAGAGAGAGAGAGAGAGAGAATCCCAGCACAATGCACAAAACCCATACTATCAGTGAAGATCCAAATGTGTGGATTACAGCATCTCTCATACAACACCTATTTGTTGTGGGCAGGTTTTATCATTTGAAACTTGTATGGGCGGTGGCCTATTTGACCTGTACTTTTTCATTTCCAACTAACAAATAATTTTTTACTGTGTGAACTGACCCATGAAGTTTTTTTCAGCCCCCTATCCTGATCATTGTATACATCAATGTTTATAAAGTTTCGCAAAAATACAAGGTAACAGATGGTGATGACTTGTTGCAGTCCAGTCAATATAAAGATGACACTTGATGATGGAGAATTATACAATTGTACTGTGTCATTTCAAGTATTTCCCTGTTGAAAACATAACCACCTTTCAGAATATAAAGAAACAAATTTATTTGATAAATTATAATTATAGATTTTAAACAGAATTTGATACTTACATAATATTCGTAATCAATAGCTGAGATATTATTTATGTAGTCTATGATTTATGTGTGTTTGGCAGTTAGCAGTGTATACTTTTGCTTTTATTACATAGAAGGAATAAATGAACATAGAGCAAGTCAAATACAACATGTAAGATGTAATAGTGCCATCAAGAACCTCAGAAAAACAAACTGTAGAAAGAACACACTTAGAGAAATGAAGGCCAACTTACATATAGCATCCTTTACACATCCTCCCAAACACTTCACTGAGTTCATTAGAGGAAGATGAGAAAAAGGAAAAAGAACTAAAAATACCATCACATTTTTTTGTTTTGCTTTTGTTTTTCAAACATACAAAATGCCATTAGACTCTTTTGAAGTGAAAGTCTACGCTAAACTCGTAATCAAAACGAGTTAAACCGAGTTAAATGAATAAAAAGGATATGGTCCTTTTTGAAACTAGGTCAAAATATGTTAATTTGCTCAAGAAAGAATGCATTCTTTTTCTGAGGCAAACATTGTCAATCATGAGTTCAGTAATTTTTGTTATGTGGTATTTTAATATTATTGGTGATGCTTACATTATTATTTGTAGCTCTTTTCTCCATTTGCTTATATTATTATTGTGTGCCCTTTCTGTGACTGTTTCTAATCTTTTGCTTAGTGTTTTTGTTTTTCTCCATAAGGCCCATCTCTTCAGCCCTGTTTAACCCATAAACTTTATGTCTTGATCTCGTGGTTCTGTAGGGTGACCTTCAAGTCACAATCATCATCAGGTCAAGTGCCTTGCCGACTTGCATGCATGATCATACCTGTCCACAATCTGTGAGCTGCAACTGCTTTTGTGTGTTGACACTCCTCCATTCCATGACTAAAAGCTGTCACGAATCTTCTCAAGTTGTCTTCCTCTGTCTCTCTTTCCACGGATCTTTCCAGTGGTCACAACATGTTCCAGTTTTCTTCCTCTCATAACATGAAAAAAAAAATGATGTCTGTCTTCCTATGTTTGTGATCATTTGTCTTTGAGCCCTCACCTTTTTCAAAACATCTGGATTGTTTTTTTTTTGGCTGTCCACAGCATTCTAAGGATTCTTCTGTAAGAATGGTCTGTAAGTGGCAATAATTTAGTATTTATTTATATCTCTTGTTACATTACTAAGACATTAAAACTGAATAAATGACCAACCTGGGGTCCATTGACTGTACTGCAATCAAAGGGGTCACCAATTTTTCTGGTTTTAGCCAGTTCTTTGCTCCTGGCAACAAAATCGTCGTAAATCTTCTCTTGCACGAAAGTCCTGGTCCCTGCTACACAACACTGACCCATGTTGGTCATACAGGCTTCTTGTGCTTGTGGGACCACTTTGTCCACTGGAACATCACAGAAGCAAATCACATATTTTAACATTTACAACTGGTATAATATCTTTTGTAAAATTTGATACAAGTAGAATATAAAGCTAGTGTAAATAAAGACAAATAGTTAAAAGATAAGACATTTGTGTGTGTGTGTGTTTTTTTTTTTTTTTAATATGTTAAATTTTATAATAAAAATATATGTTATAAAGATACTGTAATTAAATTCATAACACGATCCACAAAATATTATTCACAAAAATGAAGTAAAAGCAGTTTATCCAAATTCATACCTCAGAATGAGACAAGAAATATACAGTTATTACACTAGCATATTTCTATGTAACAGTGGTAAAACTCGCCTATTTTGACTTTATCTGAAAAGTCTAGGCATTTTATCTCACTGCCCAGGAGATCACATGGGCGTGTGATACCTTGTGACACTAATGGCTCTAACAAATCTGATGCCTGTGTTGGATTTGCACATTGATCATTCTGAGCCTAAGGTGAACAGCATAACCTACCCATGAATCTCCCATAATTTTCACTCCAAAATCTGGTTCTTTCATTTTCTGGTTAGAGATTAGGTATAATTTCTGGTTCGTTGAAAGCACATGCTGAATTAGAACATCATCAGTGAATTAGAACATCATCAGTAAATTAGAACATCATCAGTGAATGAGAACACCATCAGTGAATGAGAACATCATCAGTGAATGAGAACATCATCAGTGAATGAGAACAACATCAGTGAATGAGAACAACATCAGTGAATGATAACAACATCAGTGAATGAGAACATCATCAGTGAATGAGAACATCATCAGTGAATGAGAACATCATCAGTGAATAAGAACAACATCAGTGAATGAGAACATCATCAGTGAATTAGAACATCATCAGTGAAGGAGAACATCATCAGTGAATGAGAACATCATCAGTGAATGAGAACATCATCAGTGAATGAGAACATCATCAGTGAATAAGAACATCATCAGTGAATGAGAACATCATCAGTGAATGAGAACATCATCAGTGAATGAGAACATCATCAGTGAATGAGAACATCCTCAGTGAATTAGAACATCATCACTGAATTAGAACATCATCAGTGAATGAGAACATCTGAACAAAGAAGACACAAGCAATAGATTTTACAGTTTATTGCCTGGCATATTTCGCTGTATCTCATCAGGTGCATACTACAGTAACAATTACATAAATGAAGCAAATAAGTGAATCCTTTATAACTGAAGTACAACTGTGCATGGAGAGCACAAACTGATCTACTCATTGTCTAATGCCAAAAGATGCAGATATCACAGCCTAACTGTAAACTACAACACAACGTGACAACCGTTTGATAAAGGGAAATAACAAGAAGAAAAAGTAGACTTCATATTTAAAAGTAACAAGTTTCTGGAATGACACAGCATTAAAAACATCTATAGTAATTCTCATGTCAAGTTTTTTTCTCATCTACATCTAAGCTAGATAACAGTTTACATCCTTCATGTAGACAACAACAAAAACTTACAATCGACATCATCAAAGATCACACACGGGCTCTTGCCTCCCAGTTCTAGAGTTGTCCTTTTGATGTTGGTGGCACCTGCAGCCTGCAGGATAATCTGGCCAACCTAAAACGTACAAGGTCATTATGTAGATTAGAACATGTGACCAGCCAGCAATATTGGATATTATTATGTAGATATGCATTTGTTATTAGGCAGCCTTTTGGTGTTGACAGGACCATGTGAAGAAATGAAGATCTGAATCTAATGATGATTACTGATTTAATAACCATATAATAGCACACCAGACTACTTATTGATGATCTATCTCTCGCAGCAAATTTCTTAAGGTGTAGATGTTAACTGATCCTGTAGCACATTGATCCTACACTCATCATTCTCTTCCTTTCGTACGTCCTTCCTTTCTGGATCCACTCCTAATTCCACATTAATTCATTTCTATACATGTTATTTCAATAACGTCATTCACAAATGGTCTTCATAATATCTCCTTTGTCCAGTCAAGTGTTCCTATAGCTACTGTGTTTGTAGAGAGAAATCTGCTCCTTGGTTCCCTCTAACTCCTGCATATCCTGCACAGTTTATCCTCGTGAGTCCCTGTAATCTTAATGTGCTAATGTTTGGTATCACTCACACCACAATATGTCCCTTCTAAACCTCCCAGAGAACCAGCTGAGAATCAGACACAATAATTCCTCTGAATCTAACAAACAAAGAGAAGTAAACAAACGGTAGTACACATTCTCTCAAAGCTGGGGTCATAAGAAAAGACTCAAAGTTGTTGTCTTCAAGAAGAAGGAAAAACCTACACAATGAAAAACGCCAGCGAAGGCCAATGACTTTGTTTTTCAGCATTTTAAAAAATTTTCTGCGTCAACAATAATAAATATTATAAATATATTCCTGAGTAAAATAATATGAAATGTCCAACACAGCAAATTTCAAGGTGTGAACAATTTCAAGGTGTGAACAATTTCAAGGTGTGAACAATTTCAAGGTGTGAACAATTCCAAGGTGTGAACAATTTCAAGGTGTGAACAATTTCAAGGTGTGAACAATTTCAAGGTGTGAACAATTTCAAGGTGCGAACAATTTCAAGGTGTGAACAATTTCAAGGTGTGAACAATTGCAAGAATGAATGATCCCTTACCTCAGTGGATCCAGTAAAAGCCACCTTGTTGATATCTGGGTGGGAGGTGATTGCTGCGCCAGCTGTAGGTCCATACCCTGGTAGGATGTTCACAACTCCTGCAGGGAAGCCAGCCTGGCAATGGAGACAAAACAGAATAAAACAAAACAAAACAACAAATATTGATTTTACAATCTTGTTTCTCTTGTCTATCTTCTGCTTCACCAGCCTCTGTGTCTGTACATTTATAAGGGCATACCCTCTTGCTGTCTGTTGATTAGTTATTTGTGCGCATCATAAAGCCTTGCATAAAACTAAACCACAAAGAATATTATTGCATTGAAACTTAACATCCCAACAATGTGGTACATTTCTGAAGCTCCTTGGACTGCAACAATTGATGTTTGTCAAGAGAAGGTTGAACTCTCATATCAAATATTCTGCATACCTCTTTAATGAGAGAAGCCAGATACAGTGCTGTCAATGGCGTCTGCTCTGCTGGCTTGAGGATGACAACATTTCCTGCGGCAATTGCTGGAGCAATCTTCCAGGTAGCCATCATGAGGGGATAGTTCCACTGAAGATTTGAAAAAACAAAACAAAAAGGCAATGAAATATCTGCAGGTTAGGTTATATCAGATAATACTATGTAAAACTGTAAACATATCTGTTACCACATCACGGGGTGCAATGGGTAAATGGTAAGTAAAAGCAGGGCTTGTCTGTTCTGGTGGTACACACTGATATATAGGACCAACACTTTGTTTAAGGAAGCATAATTTTGTTTCCAGTACTACTGTAATAGACTCTAGAGTTAGTACCAGCACCTCAATGTGGACTCTCTGGTGAGTACCGGTAGCTTTTTTCTTTACGAGGAAAAAAGTCTTGAGTTGACATTTATAAACGACCCCTTTCACTTTTTTGGCACAATGAGAATAGAGTGATAAACCCATAATTTTTGTAGAACAGTCAGCACTCATGGTTGATTTGATCAATATCACACTGGTCACCTATATTTTCCAGAACATTACCTGCACCAATTTTGGGCTCGGAATCAAGTTCAATTTAAAGAAAAACAAAACAACACCACAATGTGGTTTTTAACCATCGACCTCTGGACTGGCAAAAGTTACAGGACTAGTTGGTTAGTATCTGGTCACTCTGCTACAAAAGTTCCCTGGGTATGTATATGGAGTCCATGATATAATAAACCACATAATGTGCATATGTTATCACTGCATATTGAAGGAAATTAATTATATAACATTTATGAAAGTACTGATACTATAAGTGGAGTGTCAAGCATACATATATTGGGTAATGGGATAAAGTGACCACATGTAGTTCTCATTAATTTACAAAATTCTGCCAATAATCGTTGCTCATCATACAATACTGGTTCAAAATAGGAAATGTTAGGGGGGGGGGGGGGCTGTCAAAGGGGAAACGGAGGTGGAGGGTGGGGGGGGGGAGGACCCAGACATATGACTTTTACTGATCTCTCATTATCTTAATCACCATCTGGGTTCCAGAGCCCTTTTTGCTGGGAGGAGGATAACCCCACTCGCCCCAAACAAGCCAGTCCTACAGGTGGCGCTGTTAGCAGTGCTTTCATCAAAGTCTGGGTGCTTGTGCCTGAGATGCTAGGAACCAACAGTCTCCATACAAGTAAGCCAGATCTGTAAAGCAGATCTGTACATAGAACTCAAATTCTGGAACTAGATCAAAGTCCAGAAAAGGACAAACAACCAGAACTCAAACATGATGTATCTTTCTGCACCAGTCTGAGATCTCTGTGGTGAAGTCATCAAACCATTTGCCCCATATTCTGAAGGTTGTGGGTTTGTTTCATGGATAATTAGTTCTTCTGGAGCGAGAAGCCAGGCCATATGGGATCATCCTGACTTATAAAGTAAATCCTCTCGACTGTAGCAATTTAACACTAAGAAAAAGAAGAAGAGGTTACCTTGGAAAAAGCAAATTGAAGATGCACTGAAGTAGTTAAATGAAGACAGTCCAAACTAACACAGCATTTCACAGGATTAGCTTCTCTTGCAATGTGGCTCCCTTGGGCCAGATACACAGTCTTTGCTGGGAGAGGAAAGGGCAGTGCTGTAGTATGTGCTCAGGGGTCTGTCTTTCTGCTCCACAATCACAGGCAGCAGATTCCTTTATGCCTATCCTGTACAAGTGTGCTCGAAGACCACAGTGTCCTGTCCGAAGTCTAAAAATTGATGTTTGTTCTTTCCTGTTGAGTTTGTTCATGCTGTCACTCTCTGGTCTGTAATCTCCATTCTGCCTTCTCCACTCCCGCTTGAAAGACTGCTTTAGCGCTGTTTTGGTTTCCTTGTAGCTGTGTGGTTGATGAGGTTGTGGAAGATTACTCCCAGCTTTTGCCAACTCATCTGCTCTCTTATTTCCTTGAATACCACAGTGGGCTGGTATCCACTGCAAGACCAGTTCTGCTTCCTTGGAGAGTAAGCCAATGTTGGTCCTTAGATTAGTTTGCAATTAGTTTGTCTTGTTTTTTGCTTGATAGTGCTTGGAGAACAGACAATGAGTCACTAAGTGTAACAATTTTGTGTCCTCTGTGTTCTTGAGTGATAAGATGTTGGACTGCAGAAAGGAGGGCAGTTGCCTCAGCTCTGAAGTTAGTGCAGATGTCACCTGCTGGTAGTGAGAGAGCTTCTGCTCTACTGCTAGGGGGTTTAATGTAAATTCCACAACCCCCCTTTCTGACTGCTTCTGTAGCACAGCCGTTGGTGAAAACCTGAGTCCAAGTGGTGTTTGGATACTTCTCATCAAGCATAGCAAGAGCCGGGGGTTCTCTGTTGTGTCTCCGTCTGCGCATCTTTTGAAGTAATCCCTGGTACCTTTAGGACTACATTTGCCTTCACTGGCTTGCTTGTCCATGGTTCTGGCCTAAGTTTTTCGCACAGAGCTACATCTCTTTCAAGCAAATCTTGGTGCTGTCTGTACAGTTCTCTAGCAAGGTGGTTGGGGCTCTGACGCTTCAGTCTGTTTTTTGTTCTCTCTTGAAATTTAAAATGCAGTGGATGACTTTGAAGTCTTTTTAATTTCTCATACTGTAAAAGAGTTTTGTATTGTCTTCTGAGTTTGAGTGGTTCAGTATCTGCTATCCTCTCTATCTCTCTGATGGGGGTGGTTTTCATGGCTCTGAGAACAATCCTTAATCCCATATTCTGAACCGTGTCCAGTTTTTCCATTGTTGTCTTGGCTGCTGCAGCACATGCAGTGGAGGCATATTCCATTACAGGCCTGACTGCTCCAGTATATATTTGTTTCAGGATTCTGGAGTTTGCGCCCGATGTGGTACCCGCTATTTTTTTTCATCGCTGCAAACTTCTTGAATGCTTTCCCCTCTACTGCTTCTACATGTTACTTCCAAGTTATTCGCGAATCAGGTGTAACGCCAAGAAAGGTAGGAGTGTCAGTCTGTGGAATGAGCTGGGGTTTTTTCTCCAAATTTCGATTTTTTGGGGGGGGGGGGGGGGGGGGGGGGGGTGGGGGGGTGGGGGGGGGGGGGGAGAAAAGTGATGTTGTGCTTTTTGAATTATTTAGCTTTAAACCCCACTTTTCGGTCCAGGCTTCTACATTTTCCACAGTTTTCTGTAACAGATATGAGGCTGTGGTAGTGTATTCAGAGGCTGTCCAAACTGCAAAGTCATCGGCATGTAGAGTATTATAAACGTGCTGGTGGCAGGTTGCTGTGATATCATTTATGTAAACCTGGAACAGAGTTGGTGCTATCGCACTGCCCTGGGGAACTCCTTCTCTTAGTTTTGTCAGTTTGCCGATGTGTCCATCAATTCTGAATCTGGCTCTGCGTTGGAAAAGAAAGTCTTTGATCCACTTGTACATGTTGTGCACAACTCCTGCCTGTAGCAGTTTTAGTTGTAGGCCTTCTTTCCAAACTGTATCAAAAGCACAAGAGAGGTCAAAGAAGACAGCAAAAACTTTCTTTTTTTCCTGGAAGGCATTCTCTATTTCCTGTGCCAGATATTTCAACTGGTCCTCTGTGTTTCTATCCTGTCTGTGTGGTGGTGATTACAGAGTTTGTCTCCAAGAACCACATTAGTCTTTTATTTACTAATTTCTCCATCAATTGTCCTACACAGTTAAGAAGTCTGATGGGTCTAGAACTGTAAAACAGATGTGCATAAAAAGCTTAAGTTTTGGAACAAGACTAAAGTCTAGAAGTAAACATGACAACTGTGACGAAGATGTCTTGAAAGAAATTAACATAGAACTGGTGACAGGTATCAGAAGTCAGTCCCCATTTTTGGGGTAAAATTATAGTATGTCATGATAACAGGGAAGACAAGAGGTAGAAAGACAGGGAAGAGCAAGAAAGAGGGTTTTGGAAAGTTACACATCATGCTATGAAGGCTTATTTGTATCAGAAATGATTGACAGCGCGCAAAAATGAAGACTGTGAACAGGTGTACCGATGACCAGCATGGCATGAACTGTACACACAGGAAATCTCACCGGGGTGATCTGGCCACAGATTCCAACAGGTTCATGGCGGGTGTAGCTGAAGTGGTTGCCATCTGGTGATACATACAATTTGTGATACATATTACATCATAGTCATTACATCATTCACAGACCAGAACTTAGGTGAAGATAGCTAATAATGTTAGCAAATACAAGCTTTCCAGACATCAGTTATCTAAAATATGTATGATAGTTTGCTCTCACTGGTTTAGGGATATGCATTCTATATTAACCCATTTTTGTCTTCTTATATTTGCCGGGAACTTTTCTTGATCCAAGAACAATTTTATCAGGTACTTTTCTTGTGCAAGTAAAAGTTTATCAGGTACTTTTCTTGTGCAAGTAAAAGTTTATCAGGTACTTTTCTTGTGCAAGAACAATTTTATCAGGTACTTTTCTTGTGCAAGTAAAAGTTTATCAGGTACTTTTCTTGTGCAAGTAAAAGTTTATCAGGTACTTTTCTTTTGCAAGTAAAAGTTTATCAGGTACTTTTCTTGATTAAGCAAAAGTCCCATTTGCACTCCTGGAGATATATTTGCTGTATGGTTCTAGCACCATATGTCTATATACCAATCATCACTCGCTGGGATATGTGACCAATATCCTGTCAGCCACATTTTCTTCCCAAGACATTTTCCAGATACCCATTTACTCATTTTAGGCTGGGCTGACCTGGGAGCTTGTGTCAATATTTGATTGCTAAGCATCGGCCAGATCCCCCGGTAACTCCTCGCAGCGCCATTCTCCTCAGACCGCATTGATCTATTTGTAGCTGAAGTGGTTGCCACATCTGTTGATCACACACATTAGCTTGTCATACATCAATTCACCACCAAATGGTGCAGAACCGGTCATGTTTGTTAAACTGATGCTCATCATGTACACAGTGATTGTTTCACTGTCTCCTGTCATATACACTATTATTTTTTGTCCTGTTGTATTGCAATTATTGTCTATGCTTTTCTCCTGTCTTTCAATGTACATCACTTGTTATTGTTTAATAACATACTTTATCTACAGATACGCTGTTTGAATTTCTCGCATTCTGGTTTAGGGTTATGTTTTTCTATCGTCACATCCCAAACAATAATTTGCTATTACTTTTTGTCATTAATCTATTATGAGTATATTTACCACCGGGATGCACTTTTCTTGATCTTGTCAAGCCAACAATAGTATTAATCTAGGCTTAGGTTCTCCTTGTGCCATAAAAGCAAAAGCTTTCCCATTATCCAGGGTTTCAAGACTTTACCACTTGTGCATGTAAAGAAAGGTTATGCACATTTTCTTGGTTCTTGCAAGAAACCAATTTATCAGGTACCTTCATCATCTTGTTATTTTTCTGGCAACACTTCATAGAAGCAAAAGTTTATCAGGTACTTTTCTTGTCAAGTAAAAAGTGTGTTTGACATCCAGGCAACACTTCATATGATACCAACATTCTCAAGTTTATCTGGTACTTTTCCTTGATTAAGCAAAAGTCCATATTTGATCTGCGATGGAGCTATGATATTTGCATGTATGTGTTCTAGCAACACTTCATGTCTATGAACCAGACAATATGGGTTACCAATGGCATCACTCGCTGAATCCGGATAATGTGACCAATATCATGTCAGGCAACACTTAGCTATCCCAAGAACTCAATTTTCCAGATACCCACTTACCTATGAACCGGGAACCCTTTAGTTGCATCTGGCAACACTTAGCTATGAAACCTGACATCTCAATGGCTGTTGCTGGCAACACTTAGCTAGAAACCAGAACAAACTCAATGTGTTCAATATTTGATAGCCAAATGAGACCAGACATCTCAGGTGAAAATTTTGACCAGAACACTCCCGGTGTAACTGGCGTCATCGCAAGCGACATTCTCCTCAGAATGTACACATTGATCTATGTGTGTGACAATCTGGCAACATGTTCAACTAGTGACATCTCCTGAGTGAGAGGGGGGGATTGTCCATCACAACATCTAGCTTGAACTGGACATCAATTCACCACCAACACTAGTGCAGAACCGGTCATCTTATTTGTTAAACTGATGCTCATCATGTACACAGTGATTGTTTCACTGTCAACCTGTCATGAACCGGACACTCAATGTGTTTGACATTTTGCAACACTGCTTATGTATTGAACACTTATGTGTCTATTATGATTCCTTTTCTTTGACATCTGGCTCACTTGTCATGAAACCTGACATCTCAATGTGATTGACATCTTCACTGTTATTGTTAATACACACTCAACTTTGACATCTACAACACTTAGCTGTCATTGACATCTTTCTGATTGATTCTGGCAATACCTAGCTATGTAACTGTTAATCTTAATTGTCACAATCCCTTCACTGTCACTTGTATGAATACAATAATCTTACTTACTGTTTGTCATCCTGTTTGACATACACATAGCTATGGAATGACATCCTGTCTTACCATCTGTCAGCTTTAGGTTGAACCAGAGACTCTGTGTTTCATCTGTCAACATTTAGCATGTAAGACATCTCAATGTTCCCCTTGTTTGAACTGGCAACACTTAGCTATGAAATGTCTCAATGTGTTTGACATCTGGCAACACTTAGCTATGATCCAGGACATCTCAATGTGTTTGACATCTGGCAAACACCACTATGCTGGACTCAATGTTTTGACACTGGCAACACTTAGCTATGAAAAGGACATTTCAATTGTTTTGACATCTGGCAAACACTTAGCTATCGAAAACCGGACATCTCAATTGTTTTGACATCTGGCAACACTTCATATGAACCAGACATCTCAATGTGTTTGACATCTGGCAACACTTAGCTATGAACCAGTGTGGACATTAAATGTGAAACAGAACACTCTTTGACATCTGGCAACACTTAGCTATGAAATGGACATCTCCTCAATGTGTTTGACATCTGGCAACACTTAGCTATGAACCAGACATCTCAATGTGTTTGACATCTGGCAAACACTTAGCTATGAACTATGAACGGACATTCAATGTGTTTGACATCTGGCAACACTTAGCTATGAACCGGACATCTCAATGTGTTTGACATCTGGCAACACTTAGCTATGAACTGGACATCTTAATGTGTTTGACATCTGGCAACACTTAGCTATGAACCGGACATCTCAATGTGTTTGACATCTGGCAACACTTAGCTATGAACTGGACATCTCAATGTGTTTGACATTTGGCAACACTTAGCTATGAACCGGACATCTCAATGTGTTTGACATCTGGCAACACTTAGCTATGAACCGGACATCTCAATGTGTTTGACATCTGGCAACACTTAGCTATGAACCGGACATCTCAATGTGTTTGACATCTGGCAACACTTAGCTATGAACCGGAGCTCTCAATGTGTTTGACATCTGGCAACACTTAGCTATGAACCGGACATCTCAATGTGTTTGACATTTGGCAACACTTAGCTATGAACCGGACCTCTCAATGTGTTTGACATTTGGCAACACTTAGCTATGAACTGGACAACTTAATGTGTTTGACATTTGGCAACACTTAGCTATGAACCAGACATCTCAATGTGTTTGACATCTGGCAACACTTAGCTATGAACCGGACATCTTAATTTGTTTGACATTTGGCAACACTTAGCTATGAACCGGACATCTTAATGTGTTTGACATTTGGCAACACTTAGCTATGAACCGGACATCTCAGTGTGTTTGACATCTGGCAACACTTAGCTATGAAATGGACATCTGAATGTGTTTGACATCTGGTAACACTTAGCCATGAACCTGACATCTCAATGTGTTTGACATCTGGCAACACTTAGCTATGAACCGGACACCTCAATGTGTTTGACATCTGGTAACACTTAGCTATGAACCTGACATCTTAATGTGTTTGACATCTGGCAACACTTAGCTTTGAACCTGACATCTCAATGTGTTTGACATCTGGCAACACTTAGCTATGAACCGGACCTCTCAATGTGTTTGACATCTACCCCCGTAAGCAGATTCCATCCCTGGAAAAAAGCTCTATTAACCCATTAGTGGATATATTTTCTAACCATGTTCTAATATAGTGGCTTTGCAGCCCACTCTGTATAATTACCACTTGCCAACAATCTTTTTAAAGCATAATTTGCACATGGCACCTCCTGTTTTTTCTCACCCTTATCAGAGTCAGATATTATACTAACCAAGATAACATGGGTATATGTGATATAATTAGAAACTGGTTTTGCTAGGAATGCTTGCCTAGTAATTTCTGAAGTCCACATCGTATCCATAAGCTCTCACTGACATCTAGTGTTATAGCAAGGCCAGGTGGTAGCTGGTGCTGAACATTCCTGCTCCGCTCTCCCCCCCTTCTCCCCCCCCCCCCCCCTTTTCCGTCTCCAAACACACACACACATACACACACACAGATCCTTTCACATACATTTTTAAATGTTAAGAACCCACATTTCTGCAAATTGTTCCATGCCCTCCCTCCCCTCCCCCTTTTCTTTCAGTGATCACACCGGGGCGGCCCGTTGGTCCCTTCCTGTGCCACTGCTCACATGTCCCTGTGTGAATCCATTTAATGATTATCAGACTGATACAGTTTTCCGCTACAGACAGCCAGATAGACAGACAGTTTTTGTTGATCCATTGCTGTCATGTTACCAAGAAAGAAAAAAAAAAACCTATTCATCTGATAATGTTGACTGAAAGAAATGGTGACGATAGTGAGGAGTGATTCGATAATACTTATCAGACACACCAGAGTTTGTATGTCAAGGTCAAAAGATTACAGGGCAACAAGAGATAGTGTAACACATCATTTCATGCAACAAGAGATAGTGTAACACATCATTTCATGCAACAAGACATGATGTACCACATGATTTCATGCAAATGTCTCTTATCCAGATGAGAACTGAATGTGAAGTCAATTAGATCTTAAAATAAACTATTTCTTCAATTATTTCTTTGTTTGGTGGTCATATTTAATGATAAACAGTCACTCCTGTAGGTAAGTAAAAAGAAAAGTGAAGGACCCTTTTCCATTCCTTAAAGCGTATAGGGCATATAGGGCTAGACCTAAATTTTTATAGACCAACGGCACAAGATGGGTGATGTGGTCAGCATCACGCCGGTCGCCTCTACTTCCAGAGACTGCACCTGGTACCCACTCAAGGCTGGGTAGACCTGGGAGCCAAGGTCATTTTTTGAAGAAAAGTCCATCACTCCTGTGCCTGTGACAAAAATGTTCACACCAAGATTTAGCTGATCGTAAAAAAACAAAGATATCTTCAACCCATTTGGGGTAAAATTGGGCCATAAGTCTTCTGTTTTGACATCCACCCCTCCTTTGCTGCTTCTTATGACAGGCATGGTAGATTACACTGCTACTGTTCTTTGCCTCCTGTATAGCACCAGTAACACATATACATATGGGTATGTAGTGCTCGCTCCATTTTTATCGACTACACACTCAGCCAATGATTGCTGCATTTACTTCCCAGAAATGTTCCTCAAATTTAAGTTAAGCTGAGTAATCAAGGGAGCACTGGCAAGTCTCTGATTTAACATCTTTCTCCTTCATCTGTGTTCATCTGAGTAAAGATTCGATATCACAGCCTTCAGGACAGGCATATATCAGCTCAGTCTCTCTCCTCAACAGACACTGTAGAGTTTCCATCTGATGGTACCCACTGTTGTTTGGGTAACTATCATCACACCTTTCTGCTAAGTCTTGAGTGGCCCGCAGAGCCCTGTAGACACTCCCGGCTGCTTCATTCTCTCTGGGTTCGGATCTTCAATATCTTCAATTTTACTCGTTATCTTGTCACAGGTGAGAGAACACAAGTGCCTGTTATGCAGCTGCCGTACATCCCCAAGTGGGGCCTGTCCAGCCAACCTGTCTACCTGCTCATTCAGGTGCTGTCCAGCCAACCTATCTACCTGCTCATTCAGGTACTGCCCAGCCAACCTATCTACCTGCTCATTCAGGTACTGTCTAGCCAACCTATCTACCTGCTCATTCAGGTACTGCCCAGCCAACCTATCTACCTGCTTATTCAGGTACTGTCCAGCCAACCTATCTGCCTGCTTATTCAGGTACTGTCCAGCCAACATATCTACCTGTTCATTCAGGTACTGTCCAGCCAACCTATCTACCTGCTCATTCAGGTACTGTCCAGCCAACCTATCTGCCTGCTCATTCAGGTACTGTCCAGCCAACCTATCTACCTGCTCATTCAGGTACTGTCCAGCCAACCTATCTACCTGCTCATACAGGTACTGTCCAGCCAACCTATCTACCTGCTCATTTAGGTACTGTCCAGCCAACCTATCTGCCTGCTCATGCAGGTACTGTCCAGCCAACCTATCTACCTGCTCATTCAGGTACTGTCCAGCCAACCTATCTACCTGCTCATTCAGGTACTGTCCAGCCAACCTATCTGCCTGCTCATTCAGGTACTGTCCAGCCAACCTATCTACCTGCTCATTCAGGTACTGTCCAGCCAACCTATCTGCCTGCTCATTCAGGTACTGTCCAGCCAACCTTTCTGCCTGCTCATACAGGTACTGTCCAGCCAACCTTTCTGCCTGTTCTTTCAGGTACTGCCCAGCCAACCTCTCTGCCTGCTCATACAGGTACTGTCCAGCCAACCTATCTACCTGCTCATTCAGTTACTGTCCAGCCAACCTTTCTGCCTGCTCATACAGGTACACCACCAAGTGGGGCCTGTCTAGTCAACCTATCTACCTGCTCATTCAGGTACACCATCAAGTGGGGCCTGTGCAGCCAACCTATCTACCTGTTCATTCACAAACAGACCTACATAGCTCAGGTAAAGTATCCAAGCAACTATCACCACCTGCCACCTAAGGGCCGATGCGAGCTATTCCCTACAAAGAAAATGACTCAACTTTCCTGAGCAGGTTTGTGAATCAAATACTATGACAATATGTGTGCTTGAGATTTTTTACCTACATTTTGTAATTGATGTCATTTTTTATATTTATAGTCATATGTATATATTTATGTACTTACTGTCACACGTCTTTTCTTTGCGTTCCCTCTCTGTAACTCTGGTTGAAAGTTTTGGTTGTTCAACCACCTCTAGACTTTAGTCTTGTTCCAAAACCTGAATGCTGCATGCACACACATCAGTTTCACATATCTGACTTACTTGTATGCAGATTGTTGGTTCCTTGTCTCAGAGGCAGATGCACTTGCGAATTTTGAAGAAAGCCCCCAGTTAGTCGACTCTTATGGCATGCTTGTTGGGAAGGCAGTGGGTATATTCTTGTTTCCCCCATACTAGGGTCCCGGAACCCACACGGGGAAAATGTCACACTCACATCTTTGTAACTGAGCCATACTTCCATATTTAATGTCATATTAGCATATCTATGTATCACATGTCATACTTACATCTATGTAACTGAGTCATACTTCCATATTTAATATCATATTATCATATCTATGTATCACATGTCATACTTACAGCGATGTAACTTATGTCTCTCTCAATTAAGTCAGCCACTTTGTTCAAGAGTTGTCCCCTCGTGCTGGCATTCAACTTCCTGTACGGAGAACCTAAGGCAAAGGCTGCCTTGGCTGCTTCCACAGCACGATCCACATCAGCCTGGGGAATTAAAGAGTCGCTTAATGTGAGGTTGATAATGTGAGGTTGATAATGTGAGGTTGATAATGTGGGGCTGATAACGTGGGCTTGATAATGTGGGGCTGATAAGGCAGTTTGTTAGAGTCTGTGGCTCTGTGTTTTGACCATGGAGTGAGCTTTACTGTGTAAAAATGTGGGCATGTTGAGTAGGTAACTGTACAGATCTGTCAGCTGGTCTGTGGTTAACTGTACAGATCTGTCAGCTGGTCTGTGGTTAACTGTACAGATCTGTCAGCTGGTCTGTGGTTAACTGTACAGATCTGTCAGCTGGTCTGTGGTTAACTGTACAGATCTGTCAGCTGGTCTGTGGTTAACTGTACAGATCTGTCAGCTGGTCTGTGGTTAACTGTACAGATCTGTCAGCTGGTCTGTGGTTAACTGTACAGATCTGTCAGCTGGTCTGTGGTTAAAACTTGTACAGATCTGTCAGCTGGTCTGTGGTTAACTGTACAGATCTGTCAGCATGGTCTGTGGTTAACTGTACATATCTGTAAGCATGGAATGTGGTTAACTGTACAGATCTGTAAGCATGGTATGTGGTTAACTGTACATATCTGTAAGTGTGGTATGTGGTTAACTGTACAGATCTGTAAGTGTGGAATGTGGTTAACTGTACACATCTGTAAGTGTGGTATGTGGTTGACTGCATACAGCTGTATTATTAAAAATAATCAAGAATAGCACATGTTAGTCTGATGTTCACGGAAAGGGAACACATAATAAACGCAACAGACTTGACTAGCAAACAGTCGATCAGACTGGGCAACAACAACAACAACAACAATTCAGACACAGGTTAAAATAACAACGATTCTGGTGTGGAAGAACGGTGACAAGACCTCACCATCATCAGTTATTTTCATTCATAGGATGTTTGTAGAGTTTCTTGATCATTCTGTCGCCCATTTTATCTGTCCTGTGCCAGCTGTGTTTAATTTAGTGTGTCGATGTTTATAGATTCGCTTATTCTTATGTTTTAAATGTCTTCCTTTGTTCCCATGGAGGACCCCAATAATCTATTTACCCCTCTCAATGTTTAACAAGATTAAGGCTTCTATGAAAACAGAAAGGCAGCTTATTAAAGTTTTGAATATTTTTTTTTCTAATTACGGTTTGCTAATGTAGTTTCCACCCGAGGAACAATTTTCTATTTTTAAAGTTAGAATGTTTTGTTGTTAGAGCTTTATAATGACTAACATAATTTAATGAAATGTAAACTTTTAAAAAGTACATAAATGCAGTTTGAGAAAGTATTAAATAATAACCGAATTTAACTGGGTCAAAGACCAGAAAAATACCTGGCAATACTGACCTTGTAGCGGCGTTCGTGGCTTGGGCGTTGCGAGTCGACTCGTAATTCCAGCATACCTCGATCGAAACCCACTGCTGGCTGCGTGGATTGTTATCATGGTACAGGGCGTCGCAGGTCGACCCAGCCTAAAATGGGTACCAGGATGGCTGTCCCGTGAAAGTAAAGACGGCCGGCGTAATGCTGATCACATTACCCATCTAGTGCCGATGGTCTGTAAAAATATGGGCGCTCTTCCCATATACCTGATACGCTAAAAAGAGTTAAAAGGGATCTTACTGACCTTGTCAGCTTCCTGAACATCAGCAATCTTCTCCCCAGTGGCCGGGTTGATGGTGGGGAAAGTTTTCCCGCTGGCAGAATTCACAAACTCGTTGTTGATGAACAGCTGCAGAGATAGATGTGGTTGTTGAGTAAGCGCAGATCAAGGCACAAGACACATTAACAACATTGAAAGACCTGAAATCCCGAACATTCACCATAAACATCAAAAACTGTCATTCTTCATAAAGAGGCGTGGGAAGGACCATTTTGTTAGCTAGTGCACTGGCTTCTTCATGCCGCGAAGGCGTTAAGTGTCTTTAATGTTGTCAATCAATTTTTTCGTGGCCGTCCTCTTGCTTTATTCTAAAGGATGGCTAAAGCAGACGATTTTCTGTTTCTCCACGAATCCAGTACAGTGTCATTACTGCAATTTGTCTGAGAGTAGTATCATTTTTCACTCGATCTCGGATGGATGAGTTGGGAGCTTTTCTCAGGCATCTCATCTCGCAAGTGGTGATTTTGAGTACATCAGTGAAGATAATGTTTGTGTGTGGCACTGGCAGCTCAATGTTTGAATAATTATGCTGTTTATATTATCTGTCTTTGACCTCACAGTTATGTTTGGATGTTTTCACAATATAACCAGAAATGGAAGTCTTCGAACTCTGACTGACCAGCTGGAGTGATGTCACTTTCTGTGTGCATATTGCTGTCCTGCCCTGCACGTTCATTCAGATTCAAGACCCCACTGACCCCATGAACTAAG